AAAAAAAAAAAAAAAAAAAAAAATATCGAAGCACTAACCGTACCTGCTAGTTAAACTCAATACGATTTAGATAGATAGAATAGAATAGAATAGAGAGAAAGAGAGGGAGAGAAAGAGAGGGAGAGAGAGAGAGAGCATCGTAGGTGGGATCTATGGAAGTGTCTCTGCTAAATGATAAATAACGGGGGATTGTTTTCTTAGGGGATGGGTCAAGCGAAACGGGGTCGGGATTATTTAAAAAAAAAAAAAAAGATGATAATAATAATAATAATAATAATAAAAAAGTAAAAGTAAAAATAAAAAGACTCCTCTCTCTTGGTGTGTGCATCCACTCGGTGAGGGTAAAACGAGTCTCTAAAGAGTAATAATAATAAGAAAAAAAAAAAAANATGGGATGATAAATTTTCTTATGATAAAAATAATAAAGTATCGGAAAAAATGTACACGTAATAAAATAATAAAAAAAAAAAAAAAAAAAAAATGGGACGTGGATAAAAATAAAAAAATAAAGGGACACACGGTGCACGGATAAGTACTGTGAGACTGTGAATCTGTGAATCTGAATTTTGGGGGTATGACACGCAGTGGCACTCGCTAAGCCGGGAGGAGCAGGCGCGGTATTATGAGGCGGCCAGGCAGGAGCGCCATCTCCATCAGCAACGATACCCCGGCTGGAGTGCCAGGGATAACTACGGATACGGCAGCAAGAAGAAGAAGAGGAAGAAAGAACGGTCCGCAGATCCCACCGGAGGTACCACTTTCCAGTGCTAGAACAGCAGGCCCTTAATAATTCATTATAATAATAATAATAATAATAATAATAATGATAATAATCATAATAATAATAATAATAATCATAATAATAATAATATAATAATAATGATGATAATGATATAATGATAATAATAATAATAATAATAATAATTCATATAGATTACCTATTATATCATTGGTTGATATTGAAACGATCAAAGTCTCTGTGCAAAGTTTCATTCTGTATTTTGTTGATCTCTTTTTTTTTTTTCAACGAACATGTTTTATTCTATATATATATATATTTTTTTTTTTTTCGAATTTTTTTTCTAGTCTATCGTTCTTTGTTTTAAGCGTCCATTTTGTATTTGTTGTTTACACGTTCCTCTTATTTTCTTTTTTTTTTTATTACCTAATTTTTTTTCAATTTTTTTTTTCTTGTTATATATATATATATACATTTTTTTTTATTTCTCCGTTCATTTATTTTTTATTTATTTTTTATTTTTTATTATTTTTTTTTTTTTATATATATATATATTCCGTCTTGACATTTTTTTCCACTCTTCGACTCGTGCGAACTTTTTGTTTTCTCATGTGTTCAAATGAATATCGAGCAGAGCCCTGTCGGAACAAACACACGTACACGCGTGCACACTCTCGCGCTCTCGGGGGTTGTGTAACGCGCGATTGCGTGCACGCGCTTACGTACGTACACGTGTTTCCGTTCTTTTTTTTTTTTTTTCGACTCGATTGCATTTATTGGATTGTCTGTTGGGGACGGATTCTTTTGCGGATTCTAATGCGGCCGATTAATTATGCATATGCGGCGGCAAGAGCAAGAGGGAAAGAACGGAGTCTCGCGGCATGCGACGATCATTACGCAGATTCTTTTTTTTTTGTGTATCTGGCCAAACTCCCTAAAGCGGTATCCGTTCACGGGGATACAAAAAAAGAATGTGGAAAAAAAAAAAAAGAAAAACGATTAAAGGAAATGAAAGAAGTGTATACATTTCGAACGAACGAAACTATAGATATCGAAATTGCGATTAATTCGGGCGATGAGCGACGACGACGACGATCATGATGATCATGATGTTGATGATGATGATGAGAGCCTTTAGGTACGGGATGTCTGGTAGAGACCGAGGGACGTCGTTTTCTCTTCACGATCGTTTCGAACGGGACCGCTCCGCTTCCCTTCTTGGCCCATCGAGACGTGTCGCGGAAAGAACTTGGCATTTTGAACTTTTTACTTCGAACCAATGAGGACACTTTGTGTTGGTCAGATCACTCTGTCCGTTTCTTCCTTTGAACGATCGAAATTCTTTTTTATGATCGTACGAACGGTAAGTTAATTGGAAAATTGTCTTGGAAGGATACACTGAAAAAAAAAAAAAAAATAAATAAAGTAAAAGTCGTTTATTTTTATATTTTCAACATTTTCAATGTCTCTGTGATAGAAGAATATATATGTACGTATGTTGCAACTTGTGATTATAGGACTTTTTTTTTTTCAGTGTATAAACCACCAAGTCAACGTGCTCTCGCGAATCCAATATGTAACGTTCTTGTCCCGCCATATAAATCCCGTAAAATCGATTCTCTCTATCAGACACCCTGTATCGTCGAAGTTCTTCACGATAAAAGTAACGATACGACGAGTAGCGGTACAAGCGAGGGGGAGGGGAGAATCTAGGCTGTTCTTCTAGCACTTTAAACGGAAAGTAGGGACCCCAGTGTTACTGAAATATGTTCGAGCAAAATGGCGACGATGCGTCGAACGAGCATATAGATATATATATATATATATATATATATACTATTATACAAAGCGCATACGAACGAGAGCAACGAGATTTTTTTGTCGTTTAATGCAAGAAAAGAAAAAGAAAGAAAGAAAGAAAGAAAGAAAGAAAGAAAAAAAAGAACAATTTATAAGCGAACAGTTTAAAAGAGAAATATAGCTAAAAAAAAAAANAAAAAAAAAAAAAAAAGGAAAAGGTGCAAATTAGGGTGGCGGTAGTAGCATTAGTGAACCTCTTTTTTTTTTCTTCTTGATTAAAAATAATTGTTTAGCCCACGGTTCATGCACAATTACAAATAGTGTTTGGTTCTCTCTCGGTAGTGGCACGCGCTAGGGCGAGAGGAACAGGCCAAGTATTATGAGTTGGCGCGACGGGAGAGACAGTTGCACATGCAGCTGTACCCTGACTGGTCTTCCCGCGCAAATACCAACCGAACTAAGAAGAGGAAGCGCAAACAAGACACAAACAGTGATCCTGGAGGTACCCACATGCCTCACTCCACACATTCTTACAAGCTCCCCCCGCCCCACGAACAGCAACAACAACTACAACTTACTATTACTACTACTACTATTTACTACTACTACTTACTACTATTACAACTACCAACACAGCTACAGAAATTTATTGAAATATTACTACCCCCCTTTTTCAACAGCCCCCCACCCCCTCATTATTACATATATACTATTATATAATTATTATATACATTCTTATTGCTACACTACATTATGTTGCATGTTTTCCCCCCGTCTTGGGGTTTTGGGACGATATATATACATATATATATATATATATCATATATATATTACATAATATATATTCTACATATATATATATGTATATTCGGTTATCATTACTATAATTATTATTATTACTATTATGTACATGCATACGCATATATACATTCATATATATATATATGTAACTTATATATCTATTATTGTACATGGTCTTTCGTAATTTTTTCAGTTCTTTTTTTCTTGGATAATGAACAAAACAAAAAAAAAAAAAAATAATTATATATATATACATACAAAATATATATAGATGGAAGGGAGTAAAAAAAAAAAAAAAAAAAAAAAAAATGCAAAAAGAAAAGAGAATAAGAGAATGATGTTCGAGAAAAGTTTAAAAAAAAAAAAAAAAAAAAATATATATATAAAACATATGAATGATCAAAACTCGCGCGAGCGGGCGTGCACGTACGCATGCGCACGTGCGTGCCTCCATAATGTTCCGACAGATTTCCATTATATATATTGGCTGTCAAATATATAACGGGAACCAAAAGTAAATGGGACACGAGCGCATTCAGTACACACGTACACGCACATGACACAGCATTATTAATTATTAATTACGTATACAACTTTGGGGACGCTGGCCATCTTGCATTTTTACAGGGACCTATACTCCGCAATCAGACAATCCTAAGCGTTTTTAATTTTCACTCAATCTCTCTGTGTTCTTCACCTCTTCTCTTTTCTATCTTTTTTTCTTCTTTTTCTCTCTCTCCCTTTTCTCGTCTTCTTTTCTGCCTCTTCTCTCTTTCCACGTTTTTCGTTGCGCTCTTCTGCCATTTCTCCCCCTCTTTTTACGTATCTCTTTATTCTTCTCTTTCTGTCTTTTATGTACTTCTTCTCCTCCATACTCTTTTCATCTCTTATACGCTGGTTTCTCTATTCACACTCTTCTATTCTTTCTCTGTTTTTATTTTTTTATTTTTTTTCACTCGCCATTACCTTTGATCGTTTCAACATTGCCTGTTAATTATTTCTTTAATTTTTAACTTTTTTTTTTTTACTTTTTTTCTTGTACAAAGATTATAATTTGTTCATCCACTATTCCCTTTTTTTTTTTTTTTTTTTTTTTTTTTTTTTTTNTTTTTTTTTTTTTTTTTTTTTTTTTTTTTTTTGATTCTTTCTATGGTCACCTCTAATCAATCACTCGACTCTTACATGCGAGTTGTTTCGTTCACGACGCACGAGCGCTCGAGCGTCCTTTCGTTTTCCTATTTTTCTTTTTTTTTTTATATATATATATATATATTCATTTTTTTAATATTCATTGTCTAGAGCTTGCGTTTAATACAGATCACGACATTAATAATTATTGAGTAGATATGATCTTTGATCGTGTTTTTTACGCCGTTTTTAACGTTTTTACGCTGCATGCCGTTTTTTACTCAGCTTGACAAATTATCTCTTGTTTATTTTTTTATTTTTTTTTATTTTTTTATTTTTTTTTCTAAATTTTCTTGTTAATTCGCAGGTTCATTCTCCGAAGACTACATGTCTTGCGTTGATAATAATTCAACGTTTATTTGATAGTATTCAAATGGATGTATGTATGCACTTATTCATAAGTCACTAGACATTTATTAATTTTAAACATAATGTTAGTTAAAATAAATTCGTGCGAAAAAAATCTTTTAAATTTACATAGGATAAGTTAATTTCTTTTTACAAAATAGTTAACAAGTGGCTGAAAATCATAATAAAAATAATTATATTTTTCAATTTTTTTCAAAAAATATTATTCTTTTATAACTGTCTATATTTAAATTACACTCAATATTATTTTATAAAATTGTTTTATTAAAACTGATTCTTATGATTCTCGGCCCTCGTTTCATCATCCCTTAATTTTGTAATAATTTCATAGCATATGTTTAATTATTCCTAATTTGAATCAATTGTTTGGTGACTTATGAATGATAGTAATTTTAAAAAAATGTAAAACTGTCTTCCGAGAAGATCCTGCCCCGCTGGTATATTGTCAAATTTCTTGACCATTTGAGCTTGAGCATCAGATATTTCAAGTTTCTTGAACGGGGATTCCAAGGGATTCCAATGGAGAATTATTAAACTTTCACCAGGCCAATCAAGCTCAATCGGTCGCGAACATATTGTTGTACGCATGACTAGTTGACAAATAAATTTTGACGCGATCATTGGTGTTCAAGATTCTTTCAAAAAATATATCGTCCGTTTACTTGCAGAAGAGTGACACAAAGTGAAAATTTTTTTTATAGTTTTAGAGATTTAAAGATCTAAGAAAATATTGTAAATTGTGAATTGAAAGAACAAGTGATTACATTGTTCTTACTTACTTAAATTTTACTATTTAACATCTCTAAATTTAAATGAAAAAACTTTTACTATCTTTTCAAAATATTTTTATTGGAAAAAATATACTACTGATATTAAGTATTTGAAAAGCAGATAGGGTACTTTATTTAAGATGTTCAATATGGATGAATAATTACAACATTTTTTTGCCTTTTTGCCACTTATTGCTTATTTTTTACTTTAAAACGATCACTTAAAAATTCATTATTTTTTTATTATACAAATTAAACAAAATGATCAAACGTCAGGAACATCTTTTTCTCACTATATTAATTTCACATTGAATATTAAAAATCGAAAGTTACAAGTAAAAATTATTACATACAGAAATTTAAATATTTTTAATATATTTTGAAAAATGAGAAAAATACTAGATTAAAATTTTTAATTGATTATCATTTTTTTAGCTAATGACGATAAGAAATATCATCATCTTGGTAATCTAATAATCTAATTCTTAGATCATTACAGATATATCACAATCGACGATATATACGTGTCTAACTCTTCTAGCAAATGATATTTTATTTTAATAATAATAATTTAATCATTTTGAGATTCGTCCTATAATATTTATGATTATAGGATAATCGCAGAGAATCATTCTATGGCTCGAACGTCACAGTCATTCGTTCAACGAAACGAAAGAAATTCGACAATACACGGTAGTGCTTCGTTAATTGGCCATGGTTCGATTCATATCTGGCCAATTTCAAAAGAGACATCCTTTTTTTTTACATTTTTAAAAAAATCGACAATCTCTTCTTCGTTGATCACGCGAAATTAAATTACTGAATATACATATACAACACCAAAACCTAATGATTTCCTCTTTTCTCTCGTTTAAAAAAAGGAGAAAAAAAAAAAAAAAAAAAAAAAATATTTCGAACTAATCAAGCGTGAAAATCATCGCATAACGAAAAAAGAAATCTCGTCCAATTAACGAAGCACTATTGCATTATGTCGTAAGTGTTATTATACGTGATATAGAACGGGAAAAAAGAAAGAAAAAAAGAAAAAAAGAAAAAAAAAAAGAAAAATAAGGGAAATAAACCCCCAATCCTGTTCACAGCCTAAGAAGCTGTGCAACACGCTAATCGGTGCACGTTTCGCATTTTCTAGGTAACAACATGAAGAAGTGTCGCGCAAGGTACGGATTAGACCAGCAAAGCCAATGGTGCAAGCCGTGCAGGTACGTGTGCATCGTGTAGAGGGTTTGAACTCGTTGCTTCTTGAGAGAAGAATTTTATATACCGTCATTGTCGACAAGCTGCGCACGCTATTCCGGTCGCGTGTACATACGTATTTCGATATTGAGAAGTGTTGAGAAGAAACTAGAAGTCTCACGTCGATTCATATAGTAGTGTGAACACTAGAGGAAATTACTTTTCTTTCTACATGTGGTAATAAATGATGGTGAACGATACATCGGATTGTCGTGATCGAGTATCTTCTTGTGATAGAAAAATTTTTATGTATAATAAAAAAAGGAAAGAAATAGCTCTTTTGAGAATTGACAAAATAGAATTGTTTTTGACAAAAAGTAAATCTTGAAATGGGAAATTTATTCATAAAATCCAGAAGGAGCAAAATTTATTTGTTATAAATTTAAAATATAAATTATTCGACTCGAATCGTTTTAAAATGGAGGATACTCGTTCACGCACAACTTCGAGGCAACCGGATAAAGATGTAAAATACAGCAATTGACCGGTGATAAATCGCGGACCATCACGTTCGACGTAAGAGACTTGCAAGACCCGGGCACGAAATATAGTATCTCTCGATTATCACCACTTCTTACTGTTATCGTCTTCTACTCCGTTCCGTCATCCACATGTTATCGTGGAACTTGAAGAAAAAAAAAAAAAAAAAAAAAAGAGAAAGGAAAAAGTGTTGAATAGCGATTCGAAATTTCATCGCGGATATAAAATTCATGAGAAATTAAGTAAAAAAATACGAGTAACAAAATTCGAAGGGTTTATTAATTATATAATGCAAAAAATTATGTCGAGTCCTCGCGATGAAAATCTAGCTTGTCCGTGTCATGTTCGATCGGATAAAGAGAAAAGAAAAGAAAGAGAAGAACGAACTAGAAGCGACCGTCAGAAAATGTGTCTTCCAAAAAAAAAAAAAAAAAAAGAAAAGAAAAAGAAGGAAAAAAAAAATAGATTTTTCTAGCACGCTGTTGGATCGATCCGAAAACGACATCGTCCACTTGTACTTTGCTTGTAAATATCTTGACTAGATACCACACTAGTAGTTTATTTGCGGCATCACGAGCCACCCGTTTTAGCGCCACAATGATTTCCGTTCTCACTGTACGTAATCGCACAGTGCGCCCAAACGCCCCCAACTCCCGGCTGGGTTTGTGAATCTCATGGACCTCATTAAAGGGGCGATGTGACGAATCCCAACCACTGTTTTCCGCGTTTTATGCAATTTCGATTAAAATCGTAATTCATTCCAAAAAAAAAAAAAAAAATATCACAACACTTGGCTCGAACTTTTGCAATTCTAAAACTCAAAGAACCGTTGTTCGTCGTTCGACCACTGTTTTCTTAAAAATCTTCCTTCAATGAGATCCCCGGATCGTTCTCGACACAGTGGCGACACACGGTGGAAGCTTCGTAAACATGGAGCCAACTTGGGAGACATATTTTCTGATTAGACGGAGCGACAAAGAACGCTGACAAATCGGATCGCCTCGTTTCGCCTCGGTTAGTAGTAGATCGAGTTCGTTCGTCGTCGAGGTGTCTCGAACAAAATCCAACGCTTCGATCTCCTCCTCTTTCGGAATGAACAACGAAATTGACGAAAATAAAGAAAAGAAAAAATTAAAAAAAAAAAACATACCTCGAATCGAACGATCGTCGATCGATTAAATCGTAAATCGCGATTCGAACAACAATTTACGAAGAAACGGAAAAGCGTGTAAATCGCGAGGAAACAGGATGAAGGAAAAGCAAAAAACAAAAAAAAAAAAAAAAAAAAAAGAAGCGAGAGCAAGCCGCGAGTCCGGCCGCTTTTGGACAGATATCTCGCGTTGTCCACGGACTCGGGGCCGATGCGTGTGGGTGACGACGATACGGTGTGGGATTAAGATGGGATTAAAGTGATAACGTCGATGCGACGAGCGCCCCTTTAATGGCTGGTGGTTGGTTTTGGCAGCCCAGTGGAGCATGGAGCGGGGATGGGCATCCACGCGAGCATAATCCATCACGGTGTGGGAAGTAGCGCGGGGGCAGGGGTCGGGGCTGGAGGCGGTGGAGGGACGGTAGGGGCAGCGACTGCCCCTCCAAACACCAACACTGCCTCCAATGCCTCCTCGCCTCAGCAAGAACCCACTTATGTTAATCTCTAGTCAAGCCTATCGCCTCCCTTCTACTGCAACACTTCTTCTTAAACAGTGGTCAGTCCCGACTTAAACCTAAGGGCGTAGCTGGCCCTCGCTATGCTCAGCCAACTCTGCTCGTTGCCCGTGAAAGTTGTGACAATGCGATGAAAAGCGAGTGAAATTAAAAAAAAAAAAAAAAAAAAAAAAAAAAAATGGGGAAAAAAGGAGAAGATCAAAAACGAGGAGTATAATGATTTTTGGGAGGTGAGCTTAAGTGTTCTATCGTTTTCTTTTTTTTTTTTTTTTTAACAATGCAACGACAATTTCTTTTTTCCTAGCAATTTTACATTTTGATAAATGATCCATTTTTTTTTTTTTTTTTGATCCAATTTTGAAATTTTATCGAATTTTATATCGAGAGACGAGAAAAATGGGAGGGGGAGGGGGGAGAGAGGGAGGGATTGGTTAGTGCAATTTCCGGTTGTCGACACCCGAGCGGGCTGGCATAGTGAGCGGCACAGCGACGCCTTAATGCTCGCATTGTTTCTCATTGTTGTGGCTCTTTGCAGCTTATTATTGTTACATTTGATTTACCCTCGTTTAGTTGGACTTTACTCAGTGTTGCCCTTAGCATGGCTGGTCTGTAATACATATAATACATTTTTATGTATATATTTTATATATATATATATATATATATATATATATATACACACACATACACTTATGTTTATATATATATAAATATATACATTTATTGCGTACGTCTACTACGTGTAACCAAGATATATATATATATTATACTCTCTGTTTACAAACAAACATTGTTTTTTTGTTATGTTGTTCGGTTCGGAACGTTTGGCTATAGAGAAGTATACAATATACATATAATATATATTTATTACATATATTTATTATGAATCTGATATATTTATTATGATTTTAATGGCATGGCAGTTCGTGTACGGTAATTATTATTACGACGATTAATGTGTTGGTAACGGATGTGTTGGATCTTCTTCTTCTTTTTTTTTTTTTTTTTTTTTTTTTTTTTTTTTTTTGTTTATTAGTACGTAAATATGATGTTATTTTATTCCAATTTTTTTGATCTTTTTTTTTTTTTTAATTTTTTTTTTTTTACCTTTAATGTTTTCCGTTCTCTACTTTTATTTATTTATTTATTTTTTAAATAATTTTCATCTCTTGTTTCTTGTAATGTCGTAAGATGTATATTTGTTGCATTATTAATAATCGTATTACAGCCGCGTATTCGTGATCTGATTCGAGACAGATAGCACCCGTCTCCGTTTCAGTGGAACGGGACGTTCGATGATCAGACCAGGTCTCGAGGCGCGTAAGACTTCGAAGTTCAAATTTCGCGCGTCGCCCATCTCTTTCGCTTCGTAGAACGCTTGGACGCGTTTCATCCTCGATTTTCATTCGCTTTCGCGTCCAGCTGCTGAATGTATTTTCGAATAGAAAACGATCTTTTATAAATCATTCTCTTTGGAATAAAAGAATAATAACCCTTTGGAATCAATTAAGAATTCAATTAAGAATATAAAATAGAGTTTCGAAATTTTATCCATGATCATACGTTTATCTATAAATCTACAATTCTATCTTTTCTATTTTAATTTCCTCAGTTTTCAGAAATTTCTTTCGCTAAATTTATCTAAATGATACAAAAAGTGATTACGATAAAAGGAGGAGGATTAATATAACAATAGAAAAGTTCTTTTGCACACATGTGAATATTTTCATGCACACGTGAAAAGTCTTCGACTTTTTTTTTTCTTTTTTTTTTTTTTTTTTTTTAGAACAGTCTGCATTCTTCCTATTGTTTGTTCGATATTAATTGGCCGCTCAAGACCACTTAGCCAAACCGTGAACAACGTCACGAGTGACCACCTCTTCTCGTCGGCTCGCTACATGCTTCAGCTTTCTTTTAGATGGCCTTTGTAACAATAGGCTGAAACAAGCACGAGAGCGAAGATGCAAGAGAAATGTAGAGAAAAGAATAGCTAAAGTCGCGTAAATGAAAGGGTTATTCTTTTACCAATCGTCGATTAATTTTAAACGAATATAATAATAAAAAATTTTGCTCGAAAATATCTTTTGTTCGTGAAAAAATTCATAAAAGATCGAATCGAATCGATTTATTTCTCTTTTTTTTTTTAATTCAAGCAGCTGGACAACAATATAAATCAATAACGATCAAAGTATGTGAAAATATTTCGATCTTTTAAACGCTTTTTAAATTCAGACGTGCCTGCGAACAATTGACGTCCTGCTCCAACAATCGTGATGACATATAATTCATATGTACGAGAGGAAAAAAAAGAGAAGAAAGAAAAAGAAAAGAAAAAAGAAAAGATTAACTGGCTAAGAGATGAATAATGAGAGCCAATGGCAGAGCGATAAATGTCTCGACTGCGATGCAGTTAGCAAACGAGGTCGGTCGGGCTCACTTTTCGGGAACTTTGCAGTAGTAAAATGATGATAATATAAAGAAAAAGAAAAAATATGTCCTTTTCGTTTCGTTTTTTATCGCGTATATTTAATAAGAGAAGAAACGAAAAATTTGTCACGCGGTCGAAAAAATTAATAAAATCGGTTATCGTCTCTCTTTTTTCTTTCTGTTCGTTTCAATTTTCATTTCCGTTTCATTTTCCTCGATGAAAAAATTGTAATATCAAAAGAAAGAAAATTAATAATAATAATAAAATATATATATATATATATATATATGATATATTTTTCGATCGAGAAAGAGAGAAAGAGAGCGTGATGAAAGTTCCAAGTTCCACGTAACATTTGATCACATAGATTCGCGCGGGCACTTTCGCTATTAATTTTTCTTCTAGAAAAAAAAAAAAAAAAAAAAAAAAAAAAAATAAAGGAAAAAAAACGAAAAAGAAAGATAGATTTTTAGTTGAGCTTTTTTTTTTTGCAGCGTGATTCCGTGATCGATTTTTGGACGACGCGATACAAAACAGCGTTTCACGCTGCTCGGGACACGTAGTTCTCGCCTACGGATTAAAACTGCGCCCCCATCCTTTCCAACAACTCCACCTCGCCCACCCTTGTGCCCATTTGGCATTTGAATTCTTTTTGTTGAGACTTTCGTTTTTCACGTATACATTTATTACACCACAGTTATTTGCTTGTTACATCTGAAGTTTTTGAGCATGGCATTTGCAGCGAGTGATTCCGTGTCGAACGATAAAATACCAAAGCCGGCTGCGCAGATATCTCGTTCAAACTGTTATTAAAAACAATATTATTATACGAAGTAAAGTTATAATAGAAAAAAGTATCTTTGAAGTGAGAATACAGATACGTAAAAATAAAAAAAAGTTAGTTATAAAATAACGTTTCTAATTTTTTTTAATATTTTTTTTCATTTAAGAGTCTAACTTTCGAATGTTGAAATTATTAAATCGATGATACTCAAATATCTAATCTATCTTAACTCACACTCTGAGTGTTTTCATATCGAAATTAATTATTAAAACTCTCTCTCAAAAATTCTCGAGATGTCTGCGCGGTTAGTCCTGCTACGACCACGAGTGACCGCATGCTCTTTTAGTTGGTAATAATAATTCTGGATGTAACCTTCCACGGGAGGCTTCGAACGTTGTTCTAACCAAACTAACACACTTTCGATTAAAAATTTCATCTCGTCGCAACTTCAAAAACAAAAAACGCAACTTCTAAAAAAAAAAAAAAACAAAGAAAGAAAGAAAGAAAGAAAGAAAGAAAGAAAGAAGAACAACATTTAAAGCCCTCCAAATTAATTTTACGTAACCACACCACCACCTAACCGTAACGAGCCAAAGGCCACCAAACACTAATCTCGAGTTGCTTGTTCGCAGACGTAAGAAGAAATGTATCAGATACATGGGGGAGGGAGGAGAGGGCGACGGCGAAGCGGATGGCGAAGGCGACGACGATCACTCGGAGGACAACCTCGGCAGTGTGGGGGAGGCAGGAACTCCTGAGGAGGACGAGTCTCTGAGCAGCCCCGGGGGCCTGTCCGCGTTGTCTAGTCTGGCCAGCCCCTCACTGGTGTTACAGTCGCCCTCGAGCCTGGCCAGCCCGTGCCCCTGCCCCCTGACGCCCCCGGTGCCGCCTCCGCCCCTGCCCAACCCCACGAGCCAGCCGCACAATCAGCCGGTGCAACCGCCGCCCCCGCATCGTAACCCGGTCGGCACCAATCCCCACGATATCAACAACCCCCTTAGCGTGAACCAACTGACCGGCCAGTGTATAAAGAGTGAAGTGGTGTCGGCCCCCTCGGGCACGTCCAACCCGGCGATCAGTGTTACGTAGCCCCGGCCGGAACCACGTGACAAGACTGTTGCTGCCACCTTGCGTGTAGCCGACAACAGGGTCCGTGCACGTGTTGAACAGACGACGAGGTGCTGGATCGTTCGGACGATTATCCATGTCGCGATTATCCGGCAGGCCGTTAAAAGCGTGGAGGACGGCCGCAATCCGTGGCGGCTCTTCCGGGCGGTGATGTCCATCCACGTTCGGTTACCCTTCGGGAGAACGGGGAAATTCTCCAGGTGGTGGTGGTGGTGGTGGTGGTGGTGGAGGATAATACCGGAGGTGGACGAAGAGGAGACGCTTTGTCCGACTTGGACTGATTGTTGGATCGACAGTTTGACGGGTGGTTCGAGATCGAGGATAGCGAGATAAGGAGGATGTGGAGGGTCGTCCTCGATCGTGATGAGGGGATGGTTCGATGTGGAGGGGAGGATGCTGAGGAAAGTAGCCTGGGATATTGTTAACCCAGGGGTTGAATAATCCAACCCCTCCCCCTCCCCCTCTCCTACCTCCCCTCCCCCTCCCTCCCTCGAATGAATGTTGCAATTCAATTAATTCGAAATTAGGAATGGTACGAAATGGGGAAAAGAATTGGGGTGAGGGGGAGGGGAGAAAGAACGTTTATACGTTTATACGTGTGACGTAGGGAGAAGCGTGAGCAATGGACATAAGCTGTACAACAAGATGTACTGGGGAGGGGAGGGGAGGGGAGGGGAGGGGAGGGGAGGGAGGGGAATAGAGATAAGCGAGGAAAGCGGATGGAAAATACGATGAAGAAATACTCAGGACCAAGTGTCTGGCTGTAGTCACCCACTCGAGAGAGAAAGATTGTTAGGTGGTCGTGCGTGATGGAGAGTGTGAAAGAGGGAGTGAGAGGGAGTAAGGAAGAGAGAAAGATGTGATTGACGATTGTGTGTGAGTATTGCGTGAAAGGGGGTGTATATGTACGTGGGCGTAATTAAAGGGTGGTGATGAAAAAGTGCGCGTGACACAGCTTGTAGTCCTTGTTACGTTGTGATGCCAATGACTGAGAGGTCATGTTCCTGTGCCAGGTACTATATTCTATAAAGTAATTATACCGCAGACGTAATAACTAAAGGTTAAAACGAGGAAGCAAGGAAGAACGAATCGGGAAAATTGAGAATATATGTATGTTTTACGTGTGCAAGAGAGAGAGAGAGAGAGAGAGAGAGAGAGAATGAAAGAACGGATGACGACAACAGAAGGAGAAGAAGAAGAAGAAGAGAGCAAGATTTAGATGATGATGAGTTTTTGAACAAGACGAGAGAGCAAGACGATTTTCTCGTAATTCATTTTCTTTTTTTATTCGACCTCATTGTGTCAAAATACCTATTCTCCTGTGTACGTAATTTGTTATTTTTTTAAAAGTCTATATACACACACACATACCGTGCGATTGATTAGCGTGTAAGATCTCTTTTCTTTTCTTTTCTTTATTATTTTTTATTTTTTTTTTTTTTTGAAACCTTCCCTTTTTATAAATCTTTCACCGATCACTTCACCCCATCTGCCCTTTTCACAATTTTCAATTGGACGCGTAGCGCGTAACGCGATCCATAGGCGAAGAAGAAATTCAAATTCGCCTCTTTAATTCTTCAATTCTTTTCGTTTTTATTAATCGGGACCATCCCGAATCGATCTCCATTGCATAATAATAAACTATTTAGACTATTTTTTATAAAAATCTCAGGAATCTTTATCGAGCACGACGATGATTCTCTCTTCCCCGAACGATCTTCTCGTAATAATTTTTCACAAATTTGAGGGAAAAAAAGTATACGGAAATGAAATGCGATCGAGGAACGGACGAGTGGAGTACGAGTATAAGCCGCCGCCCCCCGCGCTTTCGAGTTAAAAATCGATCGAGACAATAACCAAGAGACTGTTCTGTCGTCGAACGCGCGTCCCAGAGCTTCCATTAGAAATCATGTCCAAGGGTGGCTATGTATACTCGACTTCGTTCCTCAACGATCGTTCATGATCGAGGAAGAAGACACAAGATATAAGTTTTATTATTTAACGAGTGTCGTTACCGATCGAGCAAAGAGATCGTTTTTTCAAGTGTTCGCTTCTTCCTCTCTGTCTCTCTCTCTCTCTTTCCTCCCCTCCATCCCTTCTTCCTTCAATTTGTTTATTTTCTTCTTTTTTCTTTTTTTATTTTTTCCACGCCACATGTCGCAATATCTTCCCTGATGAAGCGGGGAATTAATCGGATTTAATTCGTTATTAGATAATTAGTTAGAATCGAGAAAATTCTTCTTTTCTTCGAAGAAAATATTTTCTTTTTGTCTTTTTTTCGTTTTTTCTTTTTTTTTTTCTTATCATTTTGTTATCCTTTTATTTCTCTTTTCCCAGAAAATTTTAAAGGATCAAAGAAAGGGATAGATAGATTCTGGAGTTTTTTTTTTAAAATGAAAAGCAATCCATCCATCCCCGCGATTTTGATGTTTCCTCTTTTAAAATTTTTTGGAGAAAGAGGTGGAAATGTGCAAGAATGGAAAATTGAAAAATTCGTCGATATTTTATTTCGTAATTATGATTATAGCGTGATTAAATGTTTGTTCACTCGGATGGTCGCAAGCAACGAGTTTCCGCCATGCCTCTTTTGTCACATTTATCGTGTTGTTTTACGTGTAATAGCCTCGGTAAACCTCACTACTCATTGTTGTTGTATAGGAAAACAATTAAAAGAGAAAGAAGAATATTATTTTTAGTTGATCGTGAGCCCATTTTACCTTTTTTTTTTTTTCTTCTACGTTTCTTTTTTTTCCCTCCCGTCCCCCCTTATTACCCCCTGTTTTCTTTCTTTTTTTTTTTTTTAATCGCGCTTTTGCGTTTTGAATCCTTGTTATCGCGGAATAAGCGCGCGAAGCGAATCGAGGATTTTTTTTTTTTGCGTATACGTCTCTGCACACCGTGCGACGATACACGTTTGTATTCACGTTTTATGTTCATTTCATGTTTTTAATTTTTCTGTATTGTAATCAGAGATTCACCGACGATTATTATTCACGAAGCACGAAGAAAAGGAAAAAAAAAAAAAAAAAAAAA